CGACACAATTATCTCTCACTTAACCCCCGATGGCGTCGAACAAGATCTCGGAAGAGGACATCATATCGTTCATGAGGAACATGTTCGGCGTGAGCATAGCCAGGGATCAGCTCCAGGCGCCCACGAAGGACTTCGTGGTGGGAGTGTACGCGCGCTTCTTAAGCGAGTTTGGCGTCGAGAATGTCTCCCAACCGGACATAATGGCCACGAGTGGTATGGATAACATCGAGCGCTACGAGACCAACATAATAGTGGCCAATATCTACAAATCCGTGGCCAACATAGTGGTGAACGCCGGGGTGCCCGACATGTCGTTCGCCGATGTGGTGCAGCCCAAGAGGTTGCGCACGCAGCGGATCCTATCGGCGCTCTGTTGCCTACTCTTGAAGCTCACGGAAATCGAGGAGCGCTTCAACCAAATGCAGGCCAAGTGTATCGATCTCCCGGTCCGCCGACAGGCCGTCGAGCAACGGATCCGCGAGTTGAGGCGTGCCGTCGAGGAGAAGTCGATGTACTTGTCCTCCAATAAGGCCAAGACTGAGGCCACCGCTCACGAGCTCAAGGCGTTGGCCGAGACCTATGAGAGGAAGCGCTCGGAGGCCGACGCTCTTCAGGACGAGTCGCGCGCTCTCAAGACCACGATTCTTAGCCAAAGGGTCAGTGGTTTTCGTGTTTGTCAGCCATTGATGTCTTGTGTCTAATGTTTGGTTCATTTGTTTGGTGTTTAGGAAGCGTTGAGCGAAATCGACGTCGAGTTGAGTAAATTGCGTGAAGAGATCCAGGAGTTGGACCACAAACTCGTGAAAAGTCCCGAACGAATCCAAGCGGACACTCAGGACAAGGAGACGGAACTGGAGTCGAAGCGCAACGAGAAGAAGAAGCTGGAGAAGCAGTACATGGAACTGATCCGATCGCTCGATCACCTCAAGGAGGGCTGCAAGTCGTTGACGCCATCGCTCGAGACGTTCACCGAAGCCTTCAAAGACATCGAATCGATTCGCAGTGAATGCGAAAAGTTGTCCGAAAATAAGGTTTTGCTGAACAGTCGCGAAGAGAAGATGAAGTCATTGAAGGTTCAGATGAAAGAGCAGGAGAAGAGTTGCCACACATTGCGGCAACAGATCGCCGGCAATGAGAAGACATTCCAGCAACAGATCCAGACGTTGAAGCAATTGAATAGTGGTATGAAAAACGATTTGGACTCCAAAACGAAGAACCAATCGGAGGCCCAGAAGTTCTGTTTGGAGGAACGGCTGCGTCTGGAGTCCCGGTTGGATGCGTTGGA